TCACTCCAGAAAGTTCTCCTTCATCTCCGCTGGTTCCGTCCAGCCCTCCTTCGTCTCCTGATTCCCCCAAGTTAGCCAGCCCTGCACCTCCAGAGCCCGCTCCTCCTGAGCGCCCCTCAGAATTCCTTATTTTCCCCAAGAAAATATGGGGGGGGGGACCATATGCCCATGGCCGAGCCGGCTAAGGTCACGGAGGATCCGCCATGGCCTCCTGAGTCCCCTGATCCGCCATGGCTCCTCGGACTGCCTGATCCTCCCTGGACGTGTGGGACGTGCCTTCCGGGAGGGGGGAGGTCACGTGTAAATTCCTGTTTGTCCTTATTTGGTTTGGTTCCTCTTCTCATTATTAGTAGTCACCTGTTCCTTGTTATTAGTTATCCTCCTCTCCGCCCTATTTGAGTTCTAGCCCGTTCTGTTCTCCCTTGTCTGGAATTGTTGATGTTAACCCTTGTTACGTGTGTTTTCCTGTTTCCCTGGATGTTATTAAAGATTGTATGTTTGAATTGGACTCTTCGTCTCCTCGTTCCGTGCTCCTCACAGTAGCGGAACTGTGACACATGGCACAGCTGCTGATTGTTTTCTTTTCGCCTCAGCAGCTAATGAGCTTGCTGCTCAACATTCAAATACTCAGCTAGTGTTGCTGTAGCATTTGCAGCGTGCTTCAGAAACCCTCCACCTTCCCCCAGCTCCACCTGTATAGATCTGGTACGGCGTGATTTCTTGTTTGTCCTATGGGGTTTATTGCATATGCTGTATGTGCAGAAGTATTTCTTACATGCTCACAGCAGCATGTTTGTGGATGTATTGGCAGTAGCTAGTCTCCACCAAGACCAAACCCCATAACATTGCCATGCTAAACTCTCAGAGAGTTGTCATGACAGAACTATAGGTTATTTATATGTAGAACGAGATTTCTCTCACTATTTGCCAGTGATTGAATGCAGTAGTAAAGTCTATACCAAAGGAATGAATATGATTGTAGCACACAGCAAACACTGAAGACTTCATCAGACATTCAAATTAAAAATATTAGTACAGTATAAATAATTCTAAAATAATGCTGTTAGGAGCTCAAAGATTGTTAAAAACACCTGAACTACTTAATTTCTTAATGTTCCTGTTTTGTTCCATATCGTGAATTACACAATCATATCTTAAACATGAATTTTAAAAGCATAGTGTGCTTTAAAAACAAATTGCTAACAAAATCTACCACCATTGTGACAATCAAGACACTCCATTTAGAATCAAGCATGAAATCATAGAGCACAATAAAAGAGAATGTGACAGCATTTCATTGTGCTTACAAAAGATTTATCAATATAATGGTCAAGGTGATGCTCTGTGTAGCTGTCAGAACACTCCACATAGTCTTCAAACAAGTAGAGCATTCCATGTTACATAAGTGTGCTCTGTCATAGCTCTTTCTGAACATTCTTCAATAAAAGTGAATCTGATCAAGCCCCAGTATAACGTCTTGTGGCTACTGATAGATACTCAATGGCTGTGATGCTTCTTTTTGCTTCAGCCAGCATATAACACACTTGAATAATATGTGATGGCCACTAGCCACAAATAAGTCTCCAACATTAGAGGCTTATTTGAACCTCCCAGGACCCCACGTTGGGTATTGCTTCATGCTATTGATGGTTAAAGGGGGAATAGTGGAGGAATAGCCTGCTGCTGCTGAAGTATCACAGCTCAGAATAGTTTTTGTCACTTTAAGATCAAAATGTGTTGAGTAGTGTTTGTAGTTCTAACTCAGGCTGAAGAAATCAACTTGATCTTTAAGAGCTTTTTAAGCATATCTCCAGACAGTGCTTCCAAACCTGCTCATTCACAAATATTTGCTTGTTTTTAATATTACCGTCTGGAAAAACACCATCAGTCTGGCTCCAAACTGTGATTAAAATGGTCTCAAATGCAACACAATAAAATCTTTGCATCACTAATTTAAAATCTAGAGTGTTGGGAAATGTGTGTGTGTTTGTGTGAATATCCAGTTTACATGGAAGCTTATTTTACCCACGGAATAAAAATATAAAAATTGTAATTGTTCTATTTATCTCTCAAATCAGATCTTTTTCACACAATTGTTAGTTTACATTTCTCAATTCTGACATTTTCCTCAAAATTGTGTTAAAAACCTACAATTGCGATGTGAGATCACATCTCGCAATTCTGACCTTGGAATTCTGAGTTACATCTCGCAATCCTGACTTTTTCTTGGAATTCTGAGTTACATCTCGCAATTCTGACTTTTTCATCAGTGTTCTGAGTTATCTTACAATTCTGACTTTTTCTCAGAATTCTCAGTTTACATCTCGCAATTTTGACTTTTTCTCAGAATTCTGCATTACAGCTCACAATTCTGACTTTTTTTGTGATGGAATTAAAGGTAATAGCAACTTTTTATCTGAGTTTACATCTTGCCATTTTGAATTTCTCGGAATTCCAAATTACATCTCACAATTCTGACTTTTTTGTGTCGGAATTAAACTATAAAAAAGGTAATAGCATCTTTTTATCTCACAATTTTGACTTTTTCTCAGAATTCTGAGAATTCTGTACCTACAAGATAGAATGTAAGTATCTACAAAAATCTCTGATGCCTGATTCGTAAAGAAATTACTGTTTCAAACTATTTTTTCCTTATGAGTTGGTCAAAAAGATTCACAGTCATAAATTTGCTTTTGAATCAGACTCACTCGGTCACTGAATTGCTCAAAACAATTAGCATTTAACAACTGACTACTGACTTACTGAACTGCAAGTCATTTTTCGGTTATGTCCGATTGACAATGAATCGGACAGTGTTTCCGAGATTCAAATTAGTATGCTTAATTCTATTTCATTAGTCTATTTGGTTCAAATAAAACAATATATAAATACAAATTGTATTCTAAACTTATGGAGTAAGACTGTAAAGTAGTTGACATAATACATTTTACATAACAAAGTGACACTGATATGGCACAATACAATCAAAATCAGAAGTGTAGCTTATTCAGCTCATGGGGAAATATGAATAATTAACCATAACTAGTTATAATTAACTATTCATATTTTAGATCCACTGTAGATATTACAGTTTAAAGTTGGAGCAAATTTCATCTAAATAAACTACAGAAGAACAACATCCTAGTTTTTATAGCTTAAATTGTCATAGTATTTATACTAAAACATCCCTTCATCACAGTGCACAGCAGTGACTGTTGTTAAAAGGTAAATAAACTGCACTCAATGAACTAAAATGCTTTTGAACAATCATTTTTATTGAACAAAATTTCATTTGACTCCAGGATGGCTCATTTTTTAGTCTGGTGCCCTGTCAGTATCTCATGCGTATCTTAATGCGTATCTCATAAAATCCATCCCTAAAGACATTTTAAAGTTAGTCAGAGTCTTTAAACATGAACTCTACCAAGCAAGCAATCCCTTTTTGTTCTATAAAGACAAAACAGAGCACATTAACTATAGCCATAAAGGTAAAAGAAGGCCAGCCATACTTAGCCGTGCCTCTAAACTGACTGCTTTCTTTCAAAGTGACTGAACATCTGTAGAGAGACAGATTAGTCCCGTATGAATAATCCAACAGGAAACACAGAACCTACATTATCACAGAGAACAGCTCTGGCTGTTGACTCTGTGGAGAATGGCTGGCACTTACAAAGAGTGAGGGCTAATTAAAACTCAAGATGTGGCACCACACCACCATAGATAGGAGCAAAAAGAGAGAGGGGTAAAAGGAAAGCCGGGGTGAGGAATCTACACATCTCATTAGCCCTTTATCTTTGGATGTGGGACAGTCTGCACTTGTCTTAGCTTTGACTTCAGTCTTTGTATGTCTCGTCACATTGGTTAATTGTTTATGTCGGAAAACAAGGAGAGTCTGTGTGGAGTTTGAGTTTATTAGCTGCTATGGATGGGTCCGGAGGAAGGGAAGGGCGAGGACAGAATCCACTTAAATCTTCGGATGTTGTCTTGGAGCATGATAGAGCTCTAGATGCCCGAGTCTTTGTATTTGGAGCAAGAGAAGCCTCTTATTATTCCATTACAGGACTATTGGTATTGGAAATGATATCAGATCTGTGCTGCTGACGACAGCATTATATAATACATCAAGAAACTGGGATGATCTTTGTCAGACGTCTCTTGTAGTTCACGTGCAGACAACACAAAGTGCATTGAATGTGTTTAAGTGGAATAATGGTGGTTTACATAACAGAATATATTTTTTAGATTAAGCTTTGAGGCTCAGTTCATTCATCCTTCTCAAAACCGATTAAATTAGCCTATATTTTATTCTACTCATTTACGTGTAACCAGTTGTTTGGTTACAGTTTTTCAAAGGAGGGTTGACCTTAATAGATTACGTTTATTATCTTTTTTTTTTTAAATCTATATTTAATTTTATTGATATATGTATTTAATATTATAGTATTAATATTGGTTGGGCGCACAATTTGATGCCTGATTCGCGAACAAATGACTCTTTCGAACCGGTTCTTTTTTTTTTTTTTTTAATGATATACAGCTCTATCTATCTATATGTCTAAATTTGCAAAGTAACTTTAGCCTTTACTTTAACTTTAAAAATAGCCTATGTAAAATAAATTAAAAACGTTCGTAATTTTTACTCAAAAACGAATGTAAAAATGCTAAAAAAAATTCCACAAATTTAAATAGGCCCTACATATACTTACATCACTTCATTTTCAAGTTCTACGACAATTATCTGTTTTTAATCGTAAATTTAACCAGAAGGACAACCAAATGTATAAGTTTCAGAACCTTTTTATTTGTATTTCGCGTATATATTTGCAGCAGCTGACATTGTTTAACAAAATGTTGCTCTCTGAAACCATTTTGGCAGATTTCTTTTTTTCTGTTTTCTCATTCTTCAATTTCTCTCCAACTTGAATTATTATGGATTTGAGGAGCACAAGTGGGATTTAGTAGCCAAATGATCCTGTAATAGAAGTCTGGTGCATGTGGAGAAGAGCAAAGCTGGTGTGGGAGGAGCAGTTTTAGATTGGCAGAAGACAAGGGATCCCAGAAGGCTTGTACTGAGGGAGATGCGAGCCAGCCAACAGCTTTTTTCATTCATGAAGATGCAATTCAGCGCCGACACTTGGTGTTTTCTGCGGGTGTAGCCCAGCTGAGTTAATTCAACCAGTGTCACGGAGCGCTATGCGCTCAACTGGAGCCGTTCACATGTGTGCAAACCATAAGTGCAAACTTGTGGCTTTGATCTGAACACTGCTGGACACTGTTCAATTCAACTTTCCTTATGGGATTGTGCTGGGCGAGTATGAAGAGCGCTGTCAGAAGCTGGAAGTGGCGGTCAGCTGTGTCTCGACAGGCGTTATAGGAGTCTTCATTCAGAAGGATGCTGGTGGGAAATGCCTGCAGACAGAGAGGATGAGATTTGTGGAAAGGCGCTGGAGCTTCTGTCCGATCTGTGCTCGAGAGGAGAGGTGCAAGATAAAAACTGCCTGGATTTCACCTACTATTTCCGCGATCTCGGGAGACCGAGATATTCGGACTCTGGTAAGGAAATTATTTTATTCCTGTCTTCAAATTAAGTTTTATTAATGTTTTGTGTATCCTAACTAATCAAATCACATTTAAAAAGTCGCGTTCAGCTGCTCTCAGACTACATACGGCCCTTAAACTTGTTGTCATGGCACTTTCAACCAATTTTTTTACTTGTTAGAAAGTTATTAGAAGCAAATGACCGAAATTGAAATGTGTACATTTCATTAATGCGTTCGGCTAATTAGCAGCTAGCATTGATGGAGTTTGTTGTCATTAAAGTACGTTAACCACACCCAATAAATTATCTAAAACAACCAGTATTTATTAAGATTAACGCTGATATTAAACCGTTGTTGTCAACGTATTATTTACACAATTCAGGTTACTAGACCCCCCCCCCAACTATTTTATTGAATTTTATTTTGTTATGTACATTCAAAGTAAATAAAGGTATTATTTTAAGATAAATGTGGTTCGCTGTGAATTCTGGGGGGAAAAGATAGATAGATAGAGATATATTTTATTAGTGTAGTCAGGACAAGTGTACACACACACACACACACACAAAACAAGCCCCAATCATCATTCCCCACAGTCCAGTATTAATGACCTATTTAGAGCTGTCCTGTATTTTAGCATTTGAAAATGGAGCCTACATTCATTCAAATTTGATTCTGCAGCATATCAGATGCAGTGTAATTTTAGCACTAATATTCTTGCAGGGACATTAATAACCTTTTTTTGTTGATTTATGCATTCAGAAGTTAAATTAAGCATAACATGATTATACAGGCATTCAACGTTCCTAGAAGGCTTCACAGGAAACTTTTGAATCCCCAAAGCAACCTGTCATCGATGACAAATAGAGCATTGCTTGATTCAGTATGAAGTATATGAGCTTAACTAAACGTTAGCTTCACTGAACCTTCATTCATAGATCATAGCCTCTCCTCAGATGCTGTTGTGTTTATCCTCCGAGACACAGAGCGGTCGACAGGAAGCCATTAGGTTTCCACCCCACCCTGCTACTCCGTACACTTTCTCCTTTGCGATTACCCAGCATTGACATCCATTAACACAAGGCCTTCAGACCCCATGGAGAACGATTCATACTAGTAATTCAGCCCCTCAATGGATTGTACAAGAATTTAATGAAAGGGAACAGCTGAGTTCAGAGCAACCCAGTAAATATACTCTTAGCCTGATGGGAATTCACGTGCGTCGCTGCAAAGTGCATGTATGGAGGAAAGTCTTTTGTAATGGAACCCAAGGGAACCAGGCACTTTGAGAGGTTAATAACACATCACTGTAATGGATAGACAGTTCAGACGACATGGTGTTGACACATATTGACAGGTATTTGTGTAACTGATGGTTCAGACACAGGAAGACAGCGTTTCGTTCTCACACTGGCAAGTTTATGACATGTCTATGACCCATGCTGATAATTTGTGCCAGTGAAGGGCTATTGACTGTGAAGGTTGTGTACTGTATTGTGTGAGTCATATTTATTCATAGCTATAGTTTCTACTAACATTGACATCTGGACTGTCATAAAAGTCTTCGATTGGTCGACCTATAAACACTTTTCTTCCCTGCGGTGGAAAAAACATTGTGTCTTGCCGTCAAATTCGCAAACAGCCTCCCGGCTTCATTCTGATTGGCTAACAGCTGCTAGCATCTGCGATCTGCCACCTGGAATTACAGAAGCAGAAATAAAAATAGACGTCGTGAGAGGTTGAGCTGGGTGAATATGGTCTTTCGAACTACCTACATGCTCGTAATATGTGTGGTGCGTGATTAAATAGTGTTTTTGTGTTCACATGTGAACAAATACCCACATGCGTCTGGATTTATGTCACACCTGCTGATGCTCAAGCAGACACCTGCTTAAAAAGATGCATAACAATATGATCTCTGGGAATGTAGTATAAAATTAGCATGCAAATTAGGATAGGAGAGGCAATTTGTCGGGAAGATCTGGCTCTAATCCACTTGACACATCAAATCCAATGTCTTGACTTCTCTGGCAAGTGTCACGACCTTTCTTGGAGACGTTCAGGTGTGCTTACCTCAGCTGGAGGGCTCATGTTTCTCTGTTTCATATGTAAAAGTGAGTTCATCTGTGCTCAAAGGACAAAAAAGACTAGGAGTAAAGAGAATGCAATCTGTTTTTCTTTTTCGGAGAGTGATGGTAAACAAATTCGCTTTAAGCCAGTGTCATTAATCTTGTGTTGGATAAGTGAATAATGTGATGTCAGAGCTTAGAAATGAGTTTAGTGTCTTGTGGGATTGTAGAATCATTTTAAAACCATGAGACGCCATCTTTAGTTTCCATATTTGTAACCATCACAGATGCAACATGAAGATGTTTCCATAGAGATGCACTGCTCTTTCTGAATGCTTGCTGTTAATGTCTTAAAATAAAGGAATATCTCCACATTGAGTGAACAAGCTTAATTGAATTTGACTCCTTTTAAATCAACCTCCCTTTTGTGGCTAGTTCACTCAGCAGCCATTTTGGAAATGTGATTTCCAGTTGTACAAGTACAGCTCTTAGATATTTGAAAGGAGAAAGAGCTAAATCTTTAAAATGTTTGTTACGTTTTGACATATTTAAAATCAGGAATGAAATCAACTATGCTGTCATAAATTGTGTTTTATTTAGCTCACATTACACAAACTATTTCTCAAGCTAGTCAGGCTAATGTACACTCAGTAGTAAACAAACAGGCGATGCCTCTATAAAAAAGGCAGTTGGACTTTAAGCGGGACTTCCATTTGTCTAACAAAAAACATCTTCAGAAAAGCTGTCACACCAAAAAGAGTTCATTAGGACCAATCTCCCACACTTGATTCATTTGGCGTGAGCTATTAACTGCTCACCTGCTAGTCACATCTTTTGGGAATTTTACGTTTCACAAACGTTTCCTTTTCTTGTAGATTCAAGTAAATTTAGCACTTTTGCCACCATGTTTCATGATCTCAGCCAGTAACTCATACCCTAATATTTATGATACTTGGAAATCTACATTGCATGATCATTATTTTTTAGTTCAGAATTAAGCTTGCTGTCCTATTTAGCTTACCTTTAGAGTCCCACACTGAAACAATATGCATGAAATATTATCAGACTGAATATGTGTCTCAGTGAGGCTGCTAGGCAGAGCATGTTCCCTGTTGCATCATTTATTCATATTATGTCCGTACCTTAACCTTAAGGACACAGTGACTGTAGAGAATGTGATTGTTTTTAAGTGCATATATTTTATTTTGTTATTTTATATTTTTTGTACGATCTACCTTTTTTTTTATCTAAAAATTGTACATTTAAAAAAAATGTGTGTTGTATGTATATGTGTGTGTGTGTGTATATATATATATATATATATATGGATTTGTCACAATGTTTCCACATCAAAATGGCCATCAAATTTCATAACATGTTTAACACAGAAGGAATATTGTTGTATTCAAAGTGTGCTGGATGTCATGCACATAGTTTAGTGCACTTAATTAATTTCACTAATGAAGCCCATGGTTAATTTACTTTGTCATTGAAATCCCACTGAGTCTATTAAAGTCTATGGAACAGTGCTGAATGATAATAATACTGATTACACCTTGACAGCATTACAAAAAAGAAAGAAATGATTAATCCATTCAATTTATGATTTCCCAGTATGAAGCCTGCAGAAGGATCTGTTTTTCAAATGATTCTGTCTTTTATGAGCACTCATGAAATTTCAGAACAGCTAAATCAAGAGGCCAGCACTTAATATCTAGTGCAATGCTATTCTTTCATGATTTATTGGAAGTATATTTCATCATTATTATTATAAAAACAGAAAGACCCAAGATGTTTAATAGAAAGTTTTGACTCATTTTGACTCATCATTTAAAAAAAAGTTTATTTTAAAGCTTGGGCTACTGATGTTTTGAAAGAATTTTTCCTCCAGTACATTATTTAATTATTTTCAGAAAAACACAAAATGAGATGTTTAGTAGAATGTTTACACTGCTCTTATGAAATTGAATGGTGACCACAGGATTTTTGATGCTTTTATTTTTTTTGTAATTTTTGAAGTTTGGCAGCCCCTAATTGTTTTATTATATGCAAAAGCGGCATTACTATCCCGCCTAACATCTTCTTCTGTGCTCTAGACAGGAAGAAAGTCACGTAGGTTTAGAATAATATAGGTGTAAGTAAATAATGAGAAAATTGCATACATTTTTTACTGAACTATCACTTTTTAAGGACACCCTAAGTCTGTCTCAGGTGTGATAACCTGCAGTATGAGCATATGCATTTTCTTTCCCCGGTATAGGGACAAAAGATCAGAGTGGACAGAAAAGCAAGCAGAAGGCAGGGCACTCTAACAGGGATTCATTCAGTCCACACTAAAAGCATCGCTTCCTTGGTGGCCTAATTCGGAGAAACCATCTCAGAGAGAGAGAGAAAGAAAGAAAGAGGGATACATGGAGTCAGAGTGGATCTTAAATGTAGCATCTATTACTGTGCATTCAGCAGCTAGAGTTAAGCTTAAACTCCAACCCAGATATTAGAGATGTCCTTCTACAAAATATCTCAATATCTGGATCGCAAAAAGTGTTTTAAAGTTTTCGGATTTCATTTTTGAAGGAAGAAAAATTATTAAATGGCTTGTAACGGATGTCTTTTAAAGCATTTATTAAAGCTCACTTTTTGAGTTGAGTCCACCTAGGATCCCAGGGATTGCCATTTGTAATGCCTGATCAAACAAAAACTTATAAGCTGCATAGAATATATACAGTAATTGAAGGATATTGCTAACTTCGCAGACTAATCAAGTCATTTAATTTCTCTTAATGATTCTTTTAATTAAATTTGTTAATTAGTGTAAAATTATAGGCCCATTCACACCAAGAATGATAACTATATTAGCCACTCCATAGCACGATGATCTGTTTAATATGAGTGCGCACTGCAGTTAAGACGTCTGTCGCTTTAAAAGAATAGTTCACCTTAAAAATTTTAATTGTCATCATTTACTCACCCTCATGTCATTCCAAACCTGTATGAGCTTCTTTCTTGTGTTGAACACGAAGAAGATATTTTGAAGAATGCTGGTAATTGAAGAGTTGTGGATTATTATGGAAGTCAGTGGGGACCATCAACTGTTCGGTTTTTCAAAATATCTTATTTTGTGCTCTACATAAGAAAGAAACTTATACAGGTTTGGAACGACATGAGGGTGAGTAAATGATGACAACATTTTCATTTTAAAGGTGAACTATTCCTTTAAATGCTTACGGGTGGATTCTGATTGGTTGTCAGTTGCTGTGTCTCATTTCAAAAGCTGCACCCTTTAGAGGTCCCATTTGTTGACCATTTCTGAAAGTAACTACTACATTCCAAATTAAGAAAGAAATGACAGTAATTTACACTTCACTAGGAATAAGTCAGTTTTATAATGGTACTTATTTTTTACATTTGACAACCTCGATGACATATGCAGCCAACAAATGGGATCTCCAGAGGGCGCATCCAATCAAACAAGACATAAATAATGATTATATCATTCAGTAGCCAGAGAAAATCATTCTGAAATTGATCCCAACTGCATTGTTTCTCAGTGGTGTCTCTATTCTCATAGAATTGGATTGATTCACAGACAGAAAGCCTTTCTGATTGACTTTTTTCTGATGTCTACTCTCAATCTCTTGATCTGTTTTGCTAACTTTGTTAACATTGTTTTTTTCAGCTGGAACCAGGAGGGTTATATTAAAAAACAAAAAAGGCTGCTTACAGCACTTCTATTCTATAAATATCTTCACAGTTTTGAACACCATCCAGTGACTGACTTTCTCTCTTGGTTATTGCTCCAGATGTGTCTGTGAGTCTGCTGTCCCTCTTGGTGACCACATGTGGCCTGGCGCTGTTTGCCGTCTCCCTGTTCGTGTCATGGAAGTTGTTTTGGGTGCCATGGCGAGATCGCTTCTTGCCCGGCCTAAAGGACCAGCAGGGCGAGCAGCAGCCGGTCCTGACCGAGGTGGAGGGCCTGGAGCGTGAATACAGCGAGGACTTCAAGAAGGATCCCAATGCGCCAACGGTGCTCCCAGAGTCAGCAATGAAGATCAGCCACACATCCCCGGACATCCACCTGGAGGCCCAGACTAAGGCCAAGGAGCTCAACCACATCCACATAGCTCGCGTACAGCGACAAGTCACCGAACCGACCTCATCTGTCAGGTGAGTCATGTTTTCCTGACTTCATCAGGCGTAATCACTCACTCACCATTGATATTCATTTAGCAATTCCCAGCTGGCATTTGTCAGACAGTGTGGGCCTCTGTGACCTTCAGCTTTAATTAAAGTTCTTCTCAGTCTCGTTATTCAGAAGATGTCTAGCATATAAAGCCAACAGACGTCCGCCCCCTTTCTTCTTGTTTCAGGCACAACTCCATCCGGAGACAGATGAACGTCTCCAACCCCGATTTCAACTTGGCCCAGTTCCAGAGACAGGAGTCCATAACTGGTCCAGGTTTGGGTCGCATCAAGCCTGAGCTCTACAAACAGCGGTCGGTGGACGCGGACGACGGCAGACGAGCGGACAGCTGCGGCCGCTTGCACTTCATCCTTAAATACGACTGTGACTTGGAGCAGCTCATCGTGAAGATCCACAAAGCCCAAGATCTACCTGCCAAGGACTTTACGGGAACGTCCGACCCATACGTGAAGATTTACCTGTTGCCAGAACGCAAAACCAAGCATCAAACCAAGGTGCACCGCAAGACTCTGAACCCCATCTTTGATGAGGTTTTCCTGTTTCCTGTGGAGTATGCTGAGCTTCCCACGCGCAAGCTCCATTTTAGCGTCTATGACTTCGACCGCTTCTCGCGCCATGACGTCATTGGTCAAGTGGTGGTGGACAACTTCTTGGATCTACCTGACTTTCCACAGGAAACCAAGCTCTGCAGGGATATCCTTTATGTTAGTGCGGTAAGTCTGCTTCAGTGTGTTTATATGTAGTGAACTTGCTTTTTCAGTGTAACATTTTATGTGCTCAGCCCTCTCAAATAATGTTGACAATGACAGAATCTTCAAATAGCAAAATTCATGAAAGGAAAGCAAGGCAGATTTGTCACCATAAGGATTTCAGGTTTGATTTAGGTGTAGGTTGTATTAGCTGCTGTATGAAGTGTTGCAACACTGGGGGGCTTCGAGTGCATGGCTCAAGATGGTTTTATCCAGGTACAGGAGGCTGCTATTGGAAATCTATGTGGGGAATTTGTACACTGATGATAGTGTCAGTTTAAATTAAGGCAAACACGAGAACTGTGTGCGTTTCCCTTTGATTTCAGTAATTATAATAATTTTGAGATGTGTATATATTATCTGTTTGTATTTATTTAGCTTTTTTTTTTGGAAAATATTTACAGTTAGTGAAATCAAGGGGGGGAAATCTATAATTTAGATTATAGATTTTTTAAAGTTAATTAATTATTTTATGACTCAAAGATGCATTTTTAAATTGTTAAAAAACTTTCTCTTCATAGAATCCTGGAAAAATGGTATGGTATCCACAAAAATATTAAGCAGCACAACAATAATTCAATAATTCAACACTGACAATAATAAGAAATGTTTTATGAGCAGCAAATTAGAATATTAGAATGATTTCTGAAGGATCATGTGACACTGAAAACTGGAGTAATGGCTGTTTTCAAATCATAGGAACAAATAAACAACAGAAAACAGTTGTTTAAATTGTAATATTTCAAAATATTACTGTATTTATGATCAAATTTAATCCAGCCTTGGGAAGTACAAAGTAAATGAAGCAAATCATTGAATTGACAAAAAGTGTTATTTATTTTAAATTGTGTATTGTCTAGAAGTTAAGTTAATTTCCATATTATTGATACATACATCAGACAAAAGCTTTTGACTGTTGTGACAAATCTTACCATTTATTAAAGGGATAGTTCACTCCATTAATAGCTTCATAACATTACTGTTGAACCGCTGATGTCACATGGACTATTTTACCGACGTCCTAACTACCTTTCTGGGCCTTAAACGTGGTAGTTACATTGCTGTCTATGGAGGGTCAGAAAGCTCTCGGATTTCATCAAAAATATCCTAATTTGTCTTCCGAAGATGAACAAAGGACTTATGGGTTCGGAATGACTTATGACAATTTTTATTTTTGGGTGAACTATCCCTTTAAGGTCTTTCATCATTTAAAGTAGTTTTAAGTCATATTTAATTGACAGGTCTAATATTTTTATTATTTGTACAGTACATAATTTTTCAGCATTATTTCTCAGAGATCAGATTGAGCTTCACACAAATGTGTTGGAATGTGTTAAGATCCCTGACCTCCAACAGATTCTCCAGTTCGAACACTACTGTGTACTTTGGCAAGATTATGGTGGTGTTAACAGTTCTTTGTAACACTATAAATGATTATTAGACCCATGTGACCACTCTGAAGTAAAAGCAGTTAATAGTCATACTGAAAGAACAAGTGAAAATATTTGAGCATGGTTTTCTCTCTCCTCCGATCACTTTCATGCTTCAGAGGTAGCAACATAAAAATATACGTTGAGAAGCGTGAATATTTCATAATCACACATGGCCCACGTAGGGGTGACCTATATTTGAAATAGCTGGAGAGCTTGTTCTGACATGAATATAAGGCGGTTTTAGGTTTATTGTTTTAAACGGGAGAGTGCAGGATAGATGTCTGATGGGGGAAATTGATCCGTCTCACAGGTGGACCTGTGCCAGCTGTCTGGAGTAAATGCCCTCAGCCAAGAATGAAACACAGAGGTTTTTGTGTGCAGGCTTTCTTTCATGACATACAGTATTTAAAGAAATGGTTCATCCAAAAATTAAAAACGTAATTTGCTCACTCTCATTATATTTTGAAAGCCATTTGACTTATGACTCTGATGAAATTTACATTACATTTTTCTTTCACAATTTGTTTTGAAACCAAATCTGTAATTTTAAATTGTAAACTGATGTATGTGCAGTAACCTAAATATTCTCAGCAGTTTGGGTGTAAGACGCTAAAATACATGACAAACTGCATCCTTCAATATGGCACTAATTGTTTTATATGGGATGGTTGGCAATTGACCGTATATAGTATATGAACATTATTCAAGCTATAAATGTCGACAAGTTTGTGTTTATATATTAATTTAATGTAGTGGTGATTTCATGTCTTTTTAACTTCATTTATATTTCACCTATTTTTATACATTTCTTGGAAAAAGCTCAAACCAGCTAATTTCACTGGATCTAGAGGTTAGCTTGAAGTCGTAGCAAGCGTCACAGGCTGTTTCAGTGCATATAAGTGGGCCATACCTCTAGGGAACGCCAGCTTGGAGGAACACAATCCATGCGTGCCATCCATGTATTAATCATTTTTGGAAGCTTGATTGTATATCTCACATAACTAATGTGATACTATACTGTGAGACTTTACACTTTTTGAAAATATACTCATCCTCGGGTCATCCAAGATGTAGGTGAGTTTGTTTCTTCATCAGAACAGATTTGGAGAATTGTAGCATTACATCACATGCTCACCAGTGGATTCTCTACAGTAAATGGGTGCCGTCAGAATGAGAGTCCAAACAGCTGATAAAAACATCACAATAATCCACAACACAACTCCAGTCTATTAATTAACATATTGTGAAGCGAAAAACACTCTGTGTTCGTAATAACTCCATCATTAAGACATTTTTAACTTCAAACCATTTTTACTAGCAAAACCATGCATCCTCTATCCATAATATAACTTTTTCACTTGAGGAAAAAGTTATTATGGACTTTTTTGGCCTGAAGTGACAGTTTAAAGATAAAACACCTCAATGATGGATTTGTTTCTTACAAACACACAGCTTTTCACTTCACAAGACATTAATTGATGGACTGGAGTCGTGTGGATTGTGATGTTTTATCAGCTGTTTTTCTGACGGCACCCATTCACTGCAGAGGATCCATTGGTGAACAAGTGATGTAATGCTAAGAAAGACAGAAAGAAAGTATAAAAACACAGTTCATGTGTATCAAGAAAGTAAATAGGGTCAATGTTTCGAATTGATGTTGACTTTAAAAAGAGCAGGTTTATGCTAATTATGATAAATCATGTTTACTCAAGCACTGGTTGACCTTATTGAATAAAGCTGACGTGATTAATAAGCACAAAAATAAATAAATACAAATGTATAATTTGTACCATTTATCTGTATCTTTCTGCCATCTCAATTTGATTGTATCAGGATCATTTCTATATAATTGGCATTGAACAGGGTAGCACAGATGTCGGAGTGCTCTCTGCCTTCATGCTAACTCTCTGTATTACTTCAGGGATTCTGAGTAACTTGTTAAAAATGCATGAGAGTTCCAGCAGCACAGCCGGTCTTAGATTGAAATGAAATACAATCCACCATACACGATCATGACATGCGAATACAACTTTCCAAATATCACTTCTGGGGGAAAAAAAAAAGAAAAGCAACCTTAACCTTTCTGAATTTTTTTTTTCAAAAAAGTAATTTGCATTCCAATCTGAATGAATGATTATGTTTGCTCAGATCTGTTCAAGGTGTAATTTGGCTCTGCCTATAAATAAAACACAAGCTAGTTAATGTACGAAAAGGCCAATCCATTCCACCCAGCTGGAGAGTGAAAGATTAAGGTATCTCTAATCCGGAAGAGTAAAAGGTCGATCAGCAGGATTTAGTGCTATTGAATCCCCTGTCAGGATTCACCTCTAACCACGAGACATTTACCTTGTATTATGACTGGAATGACACTTTTTGTAAACTTGAAACGGAGGTATGTGGGCTTTAATCCAGTTATTCTAGGCTTTCACTCACTTAGGGGAGACCAGGAATGATTGTGACATTTCACACTTTGTACATGCATGTCCTAGTGTCACATGGTGAGGCTCTGGTGACATTGTTTTTTGCTCATCCTGGCTGCATTTATTTGATTGAAACACAGTAGAAAATGGTAATATTGGGATCTATTTTAAAATGAGGTTTATTCAGAAATCATTCTAATATACTGATTTGTTGCTCAAGAAGAAGCATTTCTTATTAGTATCAATGTTGAAAACAGTCGTGCTGCTTCTTTAAAGGGGTAGTTCACCCAAAAATGAAATTGCCCCATATTTTACTCACCCTCAAGCCATCTGTGGTGTATATGACTTTTTTCTTTCAGGCTAATACAGTCTGAGTTATATTAAAAGATGTCTTGGCTCCTCCAAGATTTATAATGGCAGTGAATGGGTGTTGAGATTTTAAGTCCAATATAGTGCATCCATCCATGATCAAAAAAAGTACTCCACACGACAATACAGATTAATAAAAGAATGACTTTCTTCTTTCTTCTGAAAGAAGAATGTAATATACACCACAGATGGCTTGAGGGTGAGTAAATCATGGGGTAATTTTCATTTCTGAGTGAACTATCCAATAGAAATTTCAAAAGAACAACATTCATTTGAAATATAATAATTTTTTTAACATGTCTTTACTGTCACTTTTGATCAATTTAATGCATCGTTGCTGAATAAAAAATGTAAATAAAAAATCTTTAAAAAAAAAATACTACCGACCTCATGGAAACTTTATGAAAAAGTAGCCTATAAAGTAAATTTAATGCAATTGTATTCATCATAATCCCATAACACTATTCTACAGCAAGCAATATAGAAATCTGACTGAGGTGGAGTGACTTATAACAAAGCAAAGCTTCTATTTTCCTGTGTTTTTTTTTGTTTGTTTTGTTTTAAATACCTAGACATGAAAGACAGGAGTGTTTCAGCAGACATTTTGAAATAGTCTGCAGTTGAAGTCGGTAAAGCCTGTTCCATTTGCAGTACCATTGTAGATAATATACTGTAAAGCTTTACAGCAGAGAAAGATGTAAGTTTGCGTAGACTGTAGTTGCACACATATAGGAAACGTTGA